TAATAAGTACTAGAGAAGTGTGTAAGAAGAAATTGTATTTGAATTCAATTTGTGAAAACTTACACTTAACTGTAATAAAAAAGCGAGAAAAAAACTCTTGCCAAGCGACTGGACGTTGCCACGAAATATGAAACTCATTAGCGGAATATCTATTATATGTTTCCACAGGACAGCAATGAAAACTACTCTCTTCGAAGAAGCTGGTTTAATTAAATTTGATACCGTCCCATTTTCTGCTGCAGACAATGCAATCCTATATGAATTAAAAAAGTAATATAATCATGTATACTTTTTAAATACTAAATTCAAGCATGATGTCATACTTCCCTTGACCTTTTTCTCAGGACAACGTAGCTTTCAAAATTTCGGTATAGCTTAGCAATAGTTAATTAAAACCTTATTTAGCTTTTGCCGCTTGAAGTATTCCATTGAGCTGAAGCTGCAGCACAAAAACTACTTGAACATTTGTTACCCAACGTCTAATCCAGCCAATACATTTCTCGATTCACTCTTAGCTCGGACGGACAGTCGGGCAACATACATAAATCTACATGGTGGCACTCATAAATATTTCATTGATGCGCTTCGCTGCTCAATTTTTTGTTGCTGTTGCTGTTGTTGTTGTTGTTGTTGCTTATAAGTGAAATATGTCCAGTTGAGCGTGCAGACTTTCATTTCCTTGGCATTTCCTGTGCAGAGAAATGCTCTCGTATATTATTTTTCCTTTTATTTTTAATATGCTCATTCAATTTGCTTTCGCCCTTGTATCTGCTGCTGGTGTTGCCCCGTTCAACTGCTGCTTTGCTCGTCGTGTCCTTTATTGATGACATGACAAACAAGGTACGATTTCCGTGCACTCAAAAAGTTCTAGAACCATTTTTCTTTCGCGAATTCGCTTCAAGTTTCCTTGGCTATTGTATTTGTATGCACATTAACTTCATTTTGCAATCATGCGCACCATAAATCCAATTTAATTGTACTGCTTATACACACACACACACACACACACACTTACACAGAAAACAGATCTATGCGCTTAGCTTGGCACAGTTCACGTTGCGTATACTTAATATTTGTTCGCTCGTGCGCTCAATACCCGGCTCAAAGCTAAATAGACGTACATAAATTTTCCTCGATATCCGTTTGATTTCTTCGCATTGCATTTTGAAAAATAGACTTTTTATACTGTTGCTTCAACGGCCAACCTATCCTCATGCTAACCAGACTGATTTAGTACGCACAATTTTCTGCCAACTTGCAGAAAACTTTCTGAGCGTATGTTGTACTTTGTTCTACCTATTCGGCGAGGCCCAGTCACTTGTTGTGATTTATGTGTGATTGAAAAGCTTTAAATTGTATGCTAATCCGGCATCGCACAGAGTCATTTGTAAAGTTGCCGCTCCAATTGAATTTAAATGGTTCGTCCATTTGGCAGTTTGACTGAACGATTGATAATTTGAATGTCATTAGACGGTTATGGCTCATGCTGTGAGTGCGGTCGAAATATCTCGACATCATTTATCAACAATCGTGTCAATCAGTGATATTATTCATTTAACAATAGCTGTTACTAAAATATTTAACAATTCGCTCATTATTGGATTGAGGTCATTGTATTTTACATTTCGAAAGGGATACAACAAAATTAAAGACTTTCGCTTTAACCCTGAAACATTTCAACTTAATTTAAACGCATATTGTGACAATGGTCAAATATTCTACAAAAAATTAATTCCATTAACTGCATTCCACTTATTGAATTTGTAGATTATACAAACTAAGCGAAAAAATTGTAAATAACAAAAATAGAAATATCGCTGATAAAATATAAAACAGTGCTGTCTGATAAATTAGAAAAATGCGCTATGTTTTAAATAAATTCCTTAATCATTCCATCCTCTTTAATAACAAGTGGAAAAGTTGCTCTTTATATAAACTATCTTCATTCACTTTAAAATAAAACTGGTTTAAAAAAAAAACACTTTTCTAATATTATTTGAATATTCTAATAATAGCGAATATATAATTATTTACTATTACTTCAAAAACGTTATCCTTAATTAGGATAATATAATAATAATAGTATAAATTTGGTAAATACTTATTTGGCAAAATCATGATTCTTTGATTTTAAATCTCCTCACATAAAGTGAGTGCCAAATTACGCCCTTTTAGGATATAAATGAGTTTATTAAACTCCTTCGTACCAAGTACTGAATTGAACAAGTGACTCCGTAGATATACAATATTAAAGCACTTCAATAATATAGATATTATTGTCTTTTCAAATCATTAAGCTCAGCTGTTACAGCAGGTCAGAAATTGCACGGCTTGACTAAATGGAGCACACACATCGGAAGAACAAATTGAAAGAGCAAATGGCACTAAATCAACGACAACATTAAATCAGAAAATTTAAGCAATAAACTCGCTTGCATTTGTGCACAGCTCATTAATGCAGAACACAAACACACACAGAAACACACACACGTCCCTTTGAGGATACACAATGCACACTTCGCTGCACTTGTGCCGGGCCACTTAACTGCGGACAGAAATTAGAAGGCCGCAATACCAAATAGACCAATAGTTGCTGGTGATTGGCTGATGGTCGCTGACCCACGTCCCAGTACTGTGGTCAAGTGGATCCTGCGTCCCATGTGGATTCAGTGACCACACTCACAGAAAAAAATACGTGTGCATTTTGAAAAAAATGTTCAACAAATTTTAAATTCTAAAAATCATAGGCTGGATTTATTGAATCCAGATTAATCTACAATGTAGAAAACATATTTCGAGATTCCTTAATGTTTTATGTATACACAGAATTGTAAAAAAAACCTTGTGTATCAATCAAATAAAATAGTTTACTACATTTATTTAATTAAAACCAATCAACCAATAGCCAACAAAGCAGTCGAGAGAGTAATTTCATTTTAATTAAACAAGTTTCCATTTATACCTTTTAGAATTAAATATAGATAGATTTCTGAAATGTAAATTTTTTGCGGAATTTAAGGGCCATCACTTACACTTTAAATCAATTTATTTCGTAAGTCTACAAATTCTTTCCAAGAATAAATATTTTTACCTTAGTGCGTTTTGTAAAATGGTTGTCGAATATTGTTCTGAGTGCAGTTTTTGGGGCAAATGTGAAAAGCTTAATATGAGTGCTCATTTTTTGTAGAGTTATGTATGCTGCATTTCCGACCTTGTCATTTCATACTAATCAACATCCGTTCAAAAATTGTTGAGTACATAATTTTTGGTGTCGCTGGCGCTCGTATAATATTTGCCATTTCTAGGGGCATTTGTTACAGCATTTGCATTGTGATTGCATGCGGGTCGCTTGTGCATTTTGTACAACATTGCGTATAAGTGACGTGCATATAAATTAGATTTGCTTCGGTGCGGATCGCATTTTGGTCCAACAACAACAGCAAACCCAAAAAATTACAAAATGCATGGAAATTGAAAATTTATTGCATACCACACAGAAAAACACATACGCACATACACAGATGCATATTTGCCTCTATTCATTTCGCATTACGCATACGCACCGTTGTTAATTTCATATTCTGAATTGAGGGTAACTCTCGCCGGACACCAAAAGGGAAATTGCACATGTACGAGCAGTCACTGTACCTTTGAGCATCTACTTTATTATGCATTTTGCCATAACGTACACGTGCTTTGCTGCGTATGTGTGGGTGTGTAATTTGGCAAAACGCTGCTACTTAAGTAAGCCAAAGCTTGCTTTGATCTAGCTCTAAGCTTGCAGGTAGCTTGGGTCCCTTTTTCGCCTAGCGTCAATTGACTTTTACTTTGACTGCTCTCTGAGGTGCCTCGTTCATTGAGGCTTTATTCCTCCATTGAGAAATTATGAATGTAAGCAGCCCGCTTGGACTATATAGCATAATAAAAAGCAAAGTGAATACCAAGAGACTTTTTGGGCGTAATTGTGGTATTTGCCATTGCTTTAACTAACGGCTACCTTATAGCAATACCATTCGTTAACTTTATGGAGCAATATTAATTTTCAGTTAATAATAAGCAGAATTTCTCTTTAAAATTAAAAAACATATGTTATTAATTTCCCTGAGGAACCATTCATACATTATAATAAAAAATATACAATATCCTAACACTTGTATTACTATTATTCTTATTATCAATGGGAGGAAGGCTATAATGCGGCTGACTCGGTAACTTAAACAACTCTATTTATTTAATCTGTGTAATTAAGCACGCTTGTAAAAGCCACATCGACAAGTATACAGACAATAAGATGATGCAACACTTTGCACTATTTCATTATATTGCCAAAGCAACTAATTATTGCAGTTTAATTAAACATATGCAATATTAATGAGTGTCTTTCGTTTGCGATTATTACACGACAGGACGTGTCATATTGCCTGACATTTTAGCAAGCTCACCAATAAAAGCTGCCTTCTATTTGCAATGCAGGCAAACAAATTAACTAACACACACATAAGCACACACACACACACAAAGAACAATCTGTTATTTATGAGAGTCGTATAAAGAGTAGGGCTTATGGGGTTGAGATTGTGACATTATTTGACATGCGGTCGCAGGGCAAGAGAAAAACATCAAAATATTAGCAACGTCAATAGCTGCACACATTTGCACTTTTTGAACGATGAGTTGAACGACATGAAGCAGAAAAATATATATTAGACTGGGAGTTGGAGGCCATGGCAACTGGTTGGCAATTGAATGGCATACAAAAAGCGCAGCAGACCCAATGATGATGTCGATGACAATGTCGATGACAACAATGACGGTGAGGATAACTATAACGACGATGTGTGTGCTTAATGTTTAACGTTGTTGTTTACAAATTGACTTTTGTTGGGGTGGCTGTTGCTGTTGTTGCTGATGCCGCTCGTCAATAAACATTTGCTTGATAATATGCCGACATATGCATAACGACATAAGTAGCTTTGGCTTACATTCTCCCTATTTTGCAGAACTACAACAATATCAACAACATCAGCAACATCAGCAACAACAACAACAGCAGCAGGTTGGCAAACATCAGGGAAATGGTTCTGTTTTAACGGGCATGCAGTCGCATCATATACGTGGGCCACGCCCACCGCTGCGCACCGCCTCATCATCGACAACGACAACCACCAGCAGCAGCAGCATCATTAACTCAGCCATGGCTGCCAATGGACCCGCTGGCAATATGCTACTAGACCAGACGCCATCGGGCGGCAGCAGCAGCAGCGGTGTCAGCAGCGCTCCCAGCTCCTCCAAGGGTCACATGGTACATGGTCACACACACGGCCACATGTCGCACGCCCACGGCGAGAGTCTGGGCATGAGCTCACCAGCCACTGCAGCCCAACAGCAGCAACAGCAACAAGTGCCACAGGCAGCTATTGATGAGATGCGCGTCTGATAGGTATCGGTCTTTGAGTTGGACTTATAGTCATCAACGGGGTAAGTTCAATTTCGCACAGAGTTCGTACAACATTCAAAGTAAAGTTATAGTTCTAGCTCCACAAGCTTTACAAAAAAAATATATCATATAAATAGAAAGAAAGTCGCCGTGAAAACCAGAGCACATTTGTGTTGTTGTAAAATATTCTCAACATTTTTCTAAATATATTTAAATTTATTTTTTATATTATTTATTTTTATATAGGATTAGTTTTACTTTTCAAAGTCAATTTGAAAACAAAAAACTATTTCAGTACAATGAAAGTTGCGTTTTTTAAAAAGTATCTTGCCTGTAAGTCTGAAATAAGGCTATTTTTATTGATCCAATAAGGCTATATTCTATACAAAAATGTAACTTTTCGATGTGATGGATCTTTAAACATATTAAAAAAGAGAAGAGATATGTCCGACCTCATAATGTAAATATATGTTTCAACGAATAAGAAACTCACAAGTTACATTTGAGTGTGCGAAACTTTATAAATGAAAATTTCGCTATAAAATTAGATAATATATTTAACATCGGGGCTCAGGGTTTATCGTAGCATTCTTACTTATTTTGTTTTCATTTTGAGAATAAATTCCATGCCTTTTTGCAAAATTACATCCTTGCTATATCCAAGCAATATCTGTATAGTATCGGTATCCACATCATCAGCGTTTGCTTTTGATTGATCTTTAGATTGAATCGCTCAATGAAACCCGCAAATTGATATATAACTTTTCCCTTCCCAGTTAGTATACATAGATACTGTTTGCAGTAAAATACAAGTATAATGCCAGAAATGTAGTTTTAAATATCGACAGTAAAATTATTTATGTTTGTACAAAGAAATTATCCATTTCTTTACACAAATATACATGCATATTCAGCTCGAAATAATCAATATGAACTCATAAAAAATGATGGTTATTCAGGACCTATTCAGGTTTATTTAAATTGCTCATGTTCATTTTATGTGTTTGTAAGTATGAGTTGACAGACGTAGCTAAAACATGCCAAAATATACCTGCAAGAATGACAAAAACAAATAGTTAAAGCCTTTAGTATCGGGGGTTGGCGAAAAGGTAAAATAAAATTTGGCCACAGTGCTGATCAAAAATAACAAACGGCATGCAAAAAATGTTTGGTCTCTATTTCATAAAAATAAAAATAACAAAGATTGACGGAAAATCTCCAGGCACCAGGTTTTTTGCTCCAATGTCAGAGCTGCTGACATGGAAAAATGTGAACGGCACACGGGGACAACAAGTCTATACCCATACTTATAATAAAGTCATGAGAATACAAAATATGTTTGGCAGCCAGCACGCATGAATTCTAAAAAAATATTTGGCATTTCAACAAAAGTATGCTTTTGGCAGCTTATACCTTTGGCCCCGCATTTAAAACTGTAGAGCAGCAGAGAGAATATCTGTAGATAGACATATAATAAAAAAATTAATGTTACTGCGCAAATAAAAATAATTAAATTAACAAACACTGGCAAAAAAGAAAAATCTAAACTGGGTCATTAATATAAATATATCAACATTTTTAATTAAAATGCTAAGAACAATTTGTTTAATTTTTTTAAGGTTGCATAAATTTAAAACAGAACAAAGTATGGGAACATTGCGTACAATTTGAACTCGATTCCTTTAAAGCTAGCTGCTATTGCTCTTCGTTGTAATAGCAAACAAAAAACCATTTGAAATTTTTGTATACATAACTGGAAAGTATTTCTAAAAACACAAAAAGAAACTTTCCATTCCGTGTGATTTTTTTTCTTGGTGTATAAAGTTAGTTGACAAAAGGCAACTCTGATACCCTACGCTCAGAGCAATTGCTTAGGGCGCTGACCACTTGCAGCGACTTTAGTTTTTCCGAGGCCGGGAAATGGGGTTGCGCTTTGTGTTTTAGGGTTTCCGTATGCGCAATCCTGTGTGTATGTGTGTGTGTCCATTAATTCAGGTGGTATACAATTAAATTTGCATTTCTTTCGTTCTTATTTTTGCCATTTCGTTTTCGTTTACACCTGGCTAACGTGGCAAATTCGAAAGTAGCCACCAACATGCCATAAGAGACCCAAGTTGTGCCAAGCACAGCATCACCTTCTTGACTTTTAGCTGATTAACATTTGCGCTTTTCTCTCTGTGCTCTGCTGCTAGGGAAAATGCAATTTTCCAACGAAAGTAAAAAGCAACAGCAGCAAGTGGCAACCTTTATGTAAATTCACACCCGCAATATATAAAGGGTGGAGGGGTGGGACATACTTATTTACATACTAAGTTATATATATATATATGTATATATATATATATATATATATATATAGCGGATGGGAAGTGTAGATGTGCTAAAAGCGTAATAAACATTAATTTTCTTCTTTTTTTCATTTTGTTTCTGCTTTTCCTGTTGCTCGCTGTGCATATTTTGGCACTTGTTAAAATTATGATCAAGAAACACTGTAAAGCTCACAGTTAAGAAAATAAAGAAAAACTCAACTAGTTCGGATTTGATTTTAATCTGATGTAGAGGTAGAAAATTGGATTAATCTGTAAAGTGAATGAAATCAACTAAATGCTTGTGGGCTTCCTAATATTGTAAGAGCTTCAGTCATAAAAAAAGACTTTATCTGGAAGATGCCCTGAAAATTTTCATAACTGTAAATTCTGTGAGATTCACACTGATTTTTAGTGACTCAATCAAAAGCATCCAGAGTAGATTACTCAACTAGATAATAACAAGACATAAAATATATATTTCTTTATACGTTTTGTCATTCTCAGCTTGAAGTTAAATAATTGAGAAATTATTTGGTGGCATCTTTCTATCACTTATGCATGTATTAAGGCTGCTTATAAAAATTCTTGTTTTCATTAATAATATAGTTTAATACGTAAATGTTGGCTCAAGCTAGAATTTTCCAGTTTTAATTAAAATTATTAAAATTATAGACATTTGCACATACTTGTGATTAAGCAGTAATTACAAAATTTGTCTTTGGGCTTATTTAATTAATTGATTGCTCAATCAACTATAAGCATTTGTGCCAAATTCAGTCTGCATTCCATGCTGTAATTGGTATAGCTTAAGGCCATTTTCTAAATAGATTTACATATTTTAGGGCATCAAATGAATTAAATCCCTTAACCGATTTAAAATATTTCGAATTCTGTAAATCGAATGTAATTTAAATGTGTGATTTTAGGTTTGTCGTTGCTTGAAATGAATAAAGGGAATGCCAACTCTCGAGTAAGTTGATTGGATTCGTCAATCTATACTTGTAATTTTGAAATGCATCAAAATAGTTCATATTTTTGTGGCTACGTTAATCGTTATTATTTTGCCCTGACTCACACACACACACACACAGACCCGCAACCACAACCCCAAGCATCCCGTATCTGAGTTAAAATGGGAGCTAAATGCAAAACTTGATAAGCTTGCTGCGGCTACGTGGTGAAAACTTTATGTAATTTAGTTTAAATTTTAACTGTACATATGTGAATGCGAATATATATGAGTGTACGTCGAGGTTTGTGTGTATGTGTGTGTGTGTGTATGTTTAGGTAAATTTCCCCTGTACACTTCTGTGATAAACGTGTTGTGCAATTAGTGCACAACTTTCTAGAGCATTAGCCAACACGCGTGGTATTAAAGGGATAAACGCATCTGTTTGGTTCACTTACTCATATGCACATAAGTAATTGCACTTGGTATTTCTGCAGTTTGAGTTTACCAAATTTATTAGATAATCAAATTAATATTCATGTGTTGAAGTAGAAATATCAAAGCTGTGTTTGTATCAACGGGAGATTCATGTTGAGCATCAGAAGTTGACCTCAATGTTTTTTTTACTAAGTCAAGCTATAAATAAGTAAATATATAAGTACAAAATATCTTTCTAGAACTAGTTACATCTAAATTTAGGTTTTCTAAATACGTCGAAGACATGAAAATTATCTGTTTTTCATTTGAAAATATTTGATTTGACCATATATCATGATAAAGGGTATTAAATGAGGTTAGATTGATTGAAAATAGTAATTGACAATATTTTATGAATGTTATTTAACAGCAATTTACAAATTAAATACCAAAGAGCATTCATGTCAATAATGTTTATCATTTAATTTCTCCAAAAGCATAGTATATTTCTTATATTATAACTTATATTAAATACAAAGCAAAAAGAGAAATATTCTAATAAGACTATATTAATCTATATAGTACTTAATTTCACTTCATAAGCTATTTAATAATAACATAATAATATTCTTACTTATAATTTCTACTAATTACAAAACAAAAAGAGCTTAGTTCCGACCACTTACTTAAGACTACCTCCTAATTAATCTTCAGCAGCAACTTTGGCCTGACTTGATAATTCCATAAGAAGCAACTTAAAATCTGAGCTTATTTTTGATGCACTTTGCTTGTGTTACTTTCAAGGCAAGATATGCAAATTGCCTGCACAAACATGCGTGTAATACATTAATTATGACCTGCACACACTCACACACACACACTCACACACACACACTCACACACACACACATAGAGAATGAGTTGTGTTGAGTAAAATGCACACATTGTAGCAACGATTTGCATTACGGGCATTGCTCAGCTATAGCAGCTTTTAGTTTTCGTAGCTATCTTCAAGTCAAGTCTAGCAGCAACGACCACCGCCTACATAGTTCTGTGCACCTCTCCACCCGAACCCCTGCATCACCCATCACCTATTTAGCTCCCCTGCCGGCAATCTGCTCCAAATTGCGCGCTCAACTGTATGCCACACGGCCACCAGTTGGAACTAGGGGTACCTTGGGGAGGGTTCCATGATGAGGGCACGGAGAAGCCACCCAGCGAGCAAGGAGGCGTCGGTGGGGGGAACCGGAGATGCCAGCAGCCTGACAGTGGACCGGGTGGACGAAAACAAAAGGCAGCCGCGCATTCTGCATCTGCACTTTAGTTTTGCACTTTTCGCTTTCTTTGCATAAATTCTCGCGACCCGGGCACAAACCGAGTTTACTGTGCTGAAAAAATGAGCACGCACAAAAAAAAAAAAGAAGGAAAATCAAAACAGAAAAAACTGTAGAGTAGTGGCAAGAGATATTGTGAGGGTGGGGCAACCAGCTAGATATAAGCAAATGGTGTACAAGATTTTCCGTTGAATTTTAAGCCAAACACAAAGGCATAATGGGAAACGCCAACAGAGCGCATTGAAGTATGCGATGCAAAACGGCAACGGCAACGGCAGCGGCAGCGGCAACACCAAAAAGACTAGCTGGCAAATACAGATACACATTCAGATACACTGGAAAACATAATCATACTGAGTTGCGAAAAATCATTAGGGAATTTTAGAAAAAGAGTCTTTTTAAGATAAACATTTCTTAATAATACAGTTCTTATGATTGTCTATTAAAAAGAAGCGTTTTAACAAAAGGTTTATTTAAAATTAGAATTTAGTTCAAGAAAGCAGTAAGTTTTGCTAGTTTCTGGAAATGTTGTCCATATTATTTTTTCGAAATATTATTTAATTTCTTTTTTTTCCACAGAGATGTTAATATTAGAGTGATTTTTGGTGCACTTTTTTCCACTGTACACACACATACAATCTCACTCACAGATACAGATGCAACAATACAAAGAACTTTCAGGGCCAGTCAACGGAATGGCAGAAATGAACAGAGTGATGTGAGCCTTCTGACGTCTGTGACTGTGGTTGAACGTGGCCTCGTGGGCTGTTAGTTCGGGGCGTGGCAGTGGCAGCTCTCAAGGCAACTTGTTCGTAAACATGGATCATAAACTTTGATGGGAAGACAACTACAAGAACAGCAACAACAGCAACGACAACAATAACAAGAATAACGCTGATGCACACAGTTGAATCTGCAGCTAAAAACAGACAAGAGGTCATCAGAGATAATTTAGTAGCTCTTTGCGATACTTGGCCGACCCTAAGGCTGAGTGGCTTCGCAGCGCATCATAACTTGCAAGAATTCTGAATTCGAATTGAAACTTTATGATGCGCCAGAGATTCGCCTAGCACTTGACCCAAATGACTTTCGAATAGCGAAATGAGTATTCTGAGTACGCTGACATAAACAATATCGTTAATTATGATACACTATCTAATTATAAACCCATAATTAGGAAACTTTTCCAATTCGCTGTTTTCTTTTTTTTTTAGCTGTTTTTCCTTTTTTTGTCTTAAGCATAGCACACTTCAATAGCATCATTTATAGTTTATTTTAATGAATCAAATTTGCAAAGGCTAGACAACCATATTTTTGTGGGAATGAGAGTAATATTTTTTGGTAGAACTGATACTGTTGCAGGAACACTTGAAATGAGAAACAATTAAATATTCAATCCAAACGTAATCAGATACAATCATTTAACGAAGTGCGAAGTGTACTTGTTTTCAATTCAGAAACACTCGAGCCTTAACTAATATTAATTATATTTATTATTAATTAATTAGTTATTAATTAGATTTATTTAAAATGCAGCAACATTTTTTCCATATTGTTATTACGTATATATATAAAGTTAATAGGAAACATTTTTTATAAGCTGTCATCAGTTATTTTTTTAAATAAAATATTTATGAATATTAATAATACAAAAGCTATATAGAAAAATTTTATATTGAACATATACATGTAAATAATCAGAGTAATTTCATTTGGCCTAGCATAAAAAAGGAAAGGTGATATTTTGCATATGTTTAACGTGGAAATAGCTAGGGACACATATTTTTTATAGGATTCAAATATTAATGTAATGATTATAGTTTGCATTTACTAAAAAATATAATTAATTAGCTGAAACTTTGCTGTTAATGCAGCTGGTCATCGAAGTACTTGCACTGCAATCGGAATTAATAAATAGTTTTGGTTCGTTTTTGTTTGTGCTTTTTGATTCGTTTGACTGAGCGCCAATTAACTTTTGAAGAGGTTAAAAGCCAATTGCTGAGAGCTGTTAAAGAGCTCGCAAACGCAACTAGACTAAATAAAGCCTGATGAAATAAAATGCATTTTTGATGTTGATTTTTTTTCTTCCTTTTTTGTGCCACTTACAGGTCCATAGAAACGTTGCGAGCGGAAACGCCCGAGGAATTCTATGCGCTGAAAGAGGCACAACAACAGCAGCTGAACGATGACCCGGATGACAGCCAGCTCAATGCAGAACACGATACGACAACAGCAACAACAGCAACAACAACAAGAACAACAGCAAAGGGTAAAGGAGCGGGTGAAAGAGTGGATAACAAGCTGCAATTGAAGAAACTCAAATTTCGCAGCGAGTTGCATGCTTTGGCGCTGGAGGGTGGCGATGTGGCACGAGGCTATTGCTCATGCGATGAGCAGTGGACAACCAACTCATCGTCGTCGCCCACATCGGTGACTATGTCGCCCACACGGACGACAACCGGAAGTGCCAACACCAAGCCTGATGTCGCCGGCGGCAGCAACGGAATTGTCAAAATGGCAGCATTAAAACCGCGCAGCTCAGCCGCCGGCATTCGCCTGAAGCAGCAGCATCATGTGCGCTTCTCGGACGAGAAGAACTTCTCTGATTAAAAAGAGAAAGGGAAAGGGGAAGAGAAAGAGAAAGAGAGAGTACTCGTAAACTACTAGACTGCACCTAATCTCTGTTTTGTGTATAAGCAACATTTTGCGTAGCGTTAAGCAAACTGGTTGGGATTTATAATATAAGACCATAAAATGAAAGTAAAAGTAAAAAAGTAAATATGCAAATCGTATAAACTGAAAATATTTAAGCGTTGTTAGACGAGATCATAAGCTAAGAATGAAGAATGTGTAGTTAAAACTTTGTAGCACTTAAGCGATCTGTGTAAATACATATACTTAATCAAATAGAACAAAGTGTTAGTCAATGTCAGTGTTTAGTTACTAATTAGATCTGTTGTGAACTATATATACACATATATATATACATATATATATTTATGTGTCTGTAAGCTGCATGGGTATATAAATAGCGATCATTTTATCGTTTAAGTGTAGCACACAATTTTTTCTACCATTCAGCAAGAGTAACTAGTTAATAATAAATAAGAAAGGAAATCGAAAAGAAAAAAAAACAAATTTCATCAAAAAATATCTTTCAATAATTGGTCAAAACAAGATTTTGAAGAGCATATGCAAAGTTGTATAATTAATTGGCGTTCAGCATTGTAAATAAATTAGTAAAAAGTTAAGGCCGGAATTCTCTAGAATTATGAGAGACACAAAAAGAAAATGGAAACCCAACTAAGTAAACCAATATAAACTAAAACAATGTGGTATTATTTACTTCAAGTAAAAAAACAAAAACAAATATTTCAAATGCATACAAAACAAGTATAAAACAATGGCTCAACATCAATTCCATTAATATTAACAATAAGATATTTATAATAATTCAATCCAAAATGAATGGTTAGCTATTTTACGAAAATGCTAAAATAAATATTAAAAAAAAACAATGATCTATTTGACCTGTTATGAAAAAAATGTGTTTAATTATTATTTGTATATGTACATCTTGTGTTCAAATGTTGAATGGATTCGCGAAAAGTGGCATTTAATTACATGGTATGTAATAAATAGTGTTATTCACAGACACATTAAAACAATCACTTGATTAAAAAATAATTTATTTTTGCAAAGCGCAAGGGATTATCACAAATCAAAACTGAATGAACAGATTAACAACCAAAAACTCCAGTTAATTTAATTTGTTGCATTTATACTTGGCTTTTAACTGTTTTTCTTTTTGTTTTTTTCTTGTTTAAATTCAAACTCATTATCAAGTGTATAAATTAACTTCAAAATTCCATTATTGAGTTGAAATTTTGTGTCGATCTTAATTTAACTATAATCCAATAAACAATCACAATTTATTTGTATATAATAGTTATCATTATTCTCTAAAAATGGTCAAAATTTAAGCAACATGAAATTATACAAAATGTATTTATGGCAAAATTTATAATCGTCTAGTTACAAATACGAAAATAATAACATTAAGTCATAATAATGAAAATAAACCAATCGAAAAAAAAATGCAGAAAATAAACAAATACAATTAAAATAAACCGCATTATTAAATGAAAATTTTTAATGGTTCCTTTTTTATTGATGATGTTTATACTCATACCACAACGCGTAAGTATTTAGAGAACATATTTTGTATTAATTTTTCAATTTGTGAAAGTAAATTTATTAAATTAAATATGATTTTATTAAATGCCGTTATTGGATTTGCTTACAAAATATATCTAAGCATATTTTCTTGAGCAAAGCAAATAATCTAATGTACAAAATAACAGCTCCAATTATTATATTATTAATATTATAAGCAGGTCATGAAATCGAAACGAATTTAAGCTCCGATTCTGGTTTGAAGTTAACCCAACTTTTTCCCTTTTTTCCTTAAAATCCCTTAACTGTATCTCAAATAGCTCAGAAACACTAAGCAACTGTTACAAATCTTTTGACGATATGACAGAGCAATTTGACACCCACCTCAGATGGATCTCCGTTCAGAAAGATATTGAGGCAAAGTGTTCTGCGCTTGATCATTTTATCTATCACTGGCACAGTAGAAGAGAAGACAACGAAGTTTTGGGCTCTCAATTCTTTGGAAACAAATCGATATCGATACATATCCGATAGTCATCCCTGACAATTGGTCATGTACATCCAAGCCACGGAAAGGAACAAAGTGCCTCAAATTTAGTAAATTTATTAGAAAGAATAACTTTGCCAAAAAATTCAAATAGTCCTGAAAATTAAGAACATTAATTTTTCGGAAATATTTTTTCTGAAATTCAGATAAATAAGAATAAAATTTGGTCTCCCGGTTGCTGTTATGTATAATTATCTTTATATTTTTGTACATGTGAAATCTTAAAATACTAATGTTCAATTACACCACTGCTTTTATAAATATACATTCTGAATAAAAGTGAGCTAAAAGTACAACCATTTTCTAAACTTTAATGCAATTCTTATTCCAATACAGAAATGGATGTAGTCCATGAGGTATCACACAACAACATAACTTAAATATCAAATAATCATCAGCGGTTTTTAAATATTTAAAAAAAAAAATGAAGAAAATCAGAGAAACCTCGAGCAAAATAATTTGCCTTTATTTGTATTTAAATATGAATGAATTTAACGCATTTAAAATGGATCACTTCATTCAGTTAGATAACAAACAAGTCTATAAATCGTCAGCGTACAAGTCTCAGAAAAAGTCGCTAATCCTTTCCAATCAAAGCATCAATGTCATTTATTTGCTTCGATGTTTTGCCCAGCGATGTCTTCATTCACACATCATAGTCGATTGAGGGAGAAGCGATACTAACTGCTAATAAACGGCTATAAGACCATAAGTCCCACCCACTCAGAGGTCTCTGGTATGACTCTATTTTAAATGCTTTCGCTTATACCATTTTTTTATTATTCTTCTTTTTTTTATTGTGTTCTTTTACAATTTTAATGGCCGCTTTTTATGGTCACATGGCAGCATCCCAGTTCCCAGCATGCTGCGGTTATTAAATAAAGTTTTATGTGCCCAATAAAACACTATGAGAGCTCTGGGCCAAGGACAGAGATGGTTGCATCGATGTAGTACACAGGGCAAAAACCAAAATACATTCTAAAAGCATAAATCTTGATTCCAAAACTATCTTAAATGACAAATTATAAACTGAAATTCAGATCAACAATATCGACTCTGATTGGATTTGTCAAAATTGAAAAAAAATCAAAATACTTTTTTCTTTTAATAATAAAATATTTTTGATTTTATAGATATATAGATATTTTTTTAACTGCGTATGAATGGAGTTTTTCAAGCCATGTCCTTTGCTGAAGGTTGCCATTGCTGCCGGGAAAGGACAATGAAATTATTATAAAGCCCGGCTGCAAACATGCCTCAAACTCAACTGTTCGGACTATTGCCTCCTCGTGACTCCAACCTTCGCCCAGCTGTGGCATGCAAATGCATTTGCATATATTAACTAGCTAGTAGCCACTGCAACCCGACAGCAGCCCGACAGCAACCCGCTGTTTCCTTTGGGAGCTGGTGGTGCTGCTCTTGCAGCTTGTTGATGTTTGTCCAAAACTATTCCAATTAAATTGCCAACAAATAAAAAAATATAAAACACTTTAAAAAAAAATTCCGCTGGGCATTTTTGTTGCTGTTTGTTCTGTTTGTTGTCCCGTTACCCTCCCTGCGCAACACCCTATCCTTTGGCAAGCTTTGTTGTTAGTTTTGTGTTGCATGCAACGCGCCCAAAGAGATGCCGCACAATTTTATTGTAGGGTTCTTTTTAATACCCAAAAACCCTAAAACCATTTAAAATTGTTTTCGAAAAAAGTGTGTCTGCGCTATCAGCTTTTCGATAGTTATTTTCACGTTAAAAAGTTTAGTCGAATATACTTAGCCTAGAAGCAAAACGCTCAGTCTTCTCCATCAACACTTTCTTTATTAAGGTTTGAAGCCAAATGCAAAATCTTTTCACAACGAGAGCAAAAAACGATCGATTACCTCGAAATGAAGATAAGCGAGAGCTATGCGAAACAGCTGATTGGGCTGCAGCAGCCGGCCGATCAGCGAACGCCCTTTATCGAGAGAGAGAGAGAGAGAGCGCTGCACAAAGAGAGCGCAGCACGAAGAGAGCGCTGCACAAAGAGAGCGCTGCACAAAGCGAGCGCAGCACGAAGAGAGCGCTGCGCGAAGAGAGCGCTGCATGAAGAGAGCGCTGCTTTGAGCGCTGCTTTGAGCGCTGGCTGCTGCAGCTCAAACTGTACTTAACTTAATGTGGCTATGTAATTAAGACTAACAATTAGCTATTTGTATTAAGCCAAAAATTCAAACATGTTAACAACACATAAACAGTTAAACTTATATGCTGCTGCTAATGCCAAAAAAGTGTAAAATAAAATTGTGCAAACATCGTGTAACAAAGGCTCTCATTTATATTGAGAATATTGATCAGCCTATTTCAAAAATAAGTATTTGAGCACATTGAAAACCCAAGGATAGTCTAGAAAATATTATATTATATTTTAATTATGCTTTATATTGCATTATATCGCTTTGCAATCAACAACTACTCATAATTAAACTTTATAAAAGAAAATCTTTGGTAAGCTAACAATTTAATTTCAACCATCGACAACAATGACTACATTCTTATACATATATATATATATATTTATGTATACATATATATTTATGTATATTTATATATATCTTTTTTTATAGCTGTCCCATCTTTCAATTTGTGTTTGTATAAAAAGTTCATCATTTTAAAATTATATTTTATATACATTACTATTATTTTAAACGTTTATTTTGTATATTTTGATAAAGGGGTATTTTGCATTTTCACTGCAACTTGTAGCAGTTTAGTACTTAAGGCTTTTTATATAAGTTAAATAAATGTTATCAATAATATATTAACATCAAATACGAACGATTTGAGTTTAGAATTGGTTACACGCATTTTAATTAGATATACAATTTATTTTTTCATTTGTTGCAATTTCCTTAAAATGTGCTTTTAGTTGAATTATGAAACAGTTTTTAATTAACGAGGAAATCAATTTTAGATTCAAAAAAGCACTGCCTAAACTCAATCGTGCGTCTTTGTTCCTGTTGATGTTTGTCCAAAAACCACTCGATATTCGTATGGAATACCAATTACCAATTATATTTAAGGAAGTATTAGCCAGGGTACTTACTAGTCAAAACACATTTGGTTCTTACTCATTTTATGCTGATGATTTTTCCGAAAAGTTAAACCTTGCCAAAGCAAAAGTTTTAAGCGCAAATTTCATTACGTGTTTAAAAATGTGTCGATGGCAGCTTCTGTCAGTGTATGTTGCAGATACTTTTATATAAACATATATAACATATATATATATATATAGATGCCTGCAGACATAATTAATTTCAAATTAAACACATTTGAGATACATGTAGCCATTTGAATGGTTTCAGCTTATCTGAACAGAAGTTTATATTGTTAGATAAATTTCTGTTGTTTTTATATTTGTTATTAACATAATTAAAATT